TCAGGCTAATGCGAATATATATATATTTATCTATTTAAATATAATCGTAATAATAATTTTCAAGAAAGTAAAACTCTCTTACTATTCTATGATTTAAAAAAATGATTGATAATATATATTTTAAATCTAATTCATCGTCTGTGGCGGTGATTTTATAATCATCTTTAAAAGTTATGTAGATTGATGGTGATTTATTTTTTGATGAATTCGAAGAAACACGTTTGCCCAATTTTAAAGGTTCATTAAGACATAAAATCAGAATTGATTCTGTGTATTATTTTCATTAAATATAAATGGATTAATATGGATTAATTGTATTGATAATTATACATGTTTCATATTTACCTTTTAAATTTTTTTCAAAAGTCCATGATGAAATCTTTGAAAATTTAATATCGATGGTTTCATTTTCGACGGATTCATTGAACTACATATAGTAATCATTATTATAAAAACTATAAAATTATTATTTTTAGAAAAACATATAAGATTAGGCAATATAAATAATAACAAGAACCTCTAATGATTTGATATTTAAAGAAATTGACCATTTATTAAAATCCACATAAAAATAATTTTTGCCTTCGGGACATAAAAGTTTTGTGCTATTATATTTAATATTTGATACTTTAAATGTTTTAGGTCTATCGAATAAAAACAAGAACAAATTAATGTTTTTTTAAAAAAAGTTTTAATATATAATTATTAATTTACAAAATGCATACGTTCTAGTAACTCCATCATTAGAAGAATTTACTTCATTCAAGAATTTACGTGTATCCTAAGGATAAAGAATGTTATAAAACATTATAAATATTTTATAAATATTTTATTTATTAATATAATTATTATTGTTACTTCTTCAAAATCATTCGCCTTTATATTCAAGAATTTATTAATCAGTTTGCTGTAGTTTACAAATACTTTGGCCGCAAATGTCAATCTGTCTTCAGAAACTTTGGGGCATATTCTGAAAAATATTTCAAGGTGACGAAGCTGAAGTTCATAATCTTACAAAAAATAAAATAAATATTAATTTATTTCTTATTAATATATAAAGTTAAAATATTAAATGCTACCTGATGCAAAAATCATCGAAGATGCTAATTTTGGACTAAAAAATAAAAAATAAAGTCATGGCTTAACATCAATATCAATATCAACATCAATACATATGTAATGATTATAATAAAAAAGATACATACATATCAAAGAAATTTTCTTGATTTAGAAGTTTTTTATTTTCTTTACATCCCGTTAACAAGTCATTAATAACATTACCCGTCTAAAATATTTTACATTTATTTATTAGAGAGAGAAAAAAAAAAGAAAAAAGATTATATCTATATTGTACAATAATTACCGCTTTCCTAACATCGATGGACAACGACAAATTTAATAAAATTTCAAGAAAAAGTTTCAAGTAACTTTTACCCAAGATAACCCTAACTAGAATATTATGTATATATATATAAATATTGTTGTTATTATGAAAATAAATAACAACATAGATAACTTATTAACAATGAATTTTTTTACCTCCGTCGTCTTGTTGAATAGAATTCTATAAAATTCAAAAAAAAAAAGTTAATAATTAATTTAATTATTGACTTTTTATTTTTTTTGAAAAAAAGGAATTACATCGATTTGTGACAATGCCTCGATCAAAAGTTTTTCACATTCATCATTATCTTCTACTTTCCCATTATCGTCTCCATTGTAATGTTTTAATGAACCTTTATTATCAATTGCTATCATTATTAAATAACTTAAAACTTCAATGGAAGATTTATTGATTTCTTGAAAATCTTGTAATTCACTTGAAACATTTTTAATGTTATTTATGTTATTTATCAATTGTTTAAACAAGCTTATGTCTATTTCATAAAAGTGAAATGGATTCTTCAACTAATCAAATAAAAAGATGAGTATTAAGAGAAAGAAGAAGAAAAGAAGAAAGAACAGAGCAAATCATCAACTTCACCTCTTCCTTTAATATATTTAATATTTTTTGGAATATTGCTTCTAATCTAATAACAATATGATTATTGTTGTCAATATCGATATTATTGTTAAAAAACAGCTTCCTAATGTTATTTATGATCAATACAAAACTCTTTAACAGTATTCAAGTTATCTTTCATGGATGATTTTCCACGTCTTTTCTTGGTGTTAACAAGTATTGCTTTAGTTCTATTATCAAGGTCATCGAACGTGTTTTTCAAAGGATTGTTGTTGTTGTTGTTGTTGTTGTTGTTGTTGTTGTTGCTATCATTATTAGGTTTTGACATTTTTTCATAAAAGAATTTGAAAAAAAACAAAATAACAATATTTAGAATATTTAAGCAAACAATTGATTTCTCAACACGTAAATTGGAAA